ATTTTTTAACACAAATTTTATTTTTATATTTATACCACTAAAATTTTTCATTTCACATAAATATATCACAATTTTAACTTTAAAAAGTGAAATACATCTTTTCAAGCGTAAGTGGTGTAATAACCCAAACTCTCTCCTATCGAGATGTTATCCACTTTGGCCTAGCGGCCTCACAATTTTATCCTATTGATGTAAAATTACAATAGGTCACCCATCCTAGGAGTGCTTCTATATGAGCTCACTTAACTTTGAAGTTTTTTATATAATTCCAACGTAACACCAAAAGATACTTTGATGTTTAAGAGTTCAACTTTATTTTACCTAGGGGGCTTTGTGATCTCCTCTACTTAAGTAATTGACATCCAAGACAGGAGCAATATCAATTGACGATTAGAGAAAATTTTATTCAGAATAGAGTGAGAAAAGCTTCTTTGCATTGGATTATGTGAAAATTATATGTTCATACACTAAATTCTCCTAATTAATATTAACAATTAGGGACAATTACTCAATACTCTCATTCAAGGCACAAATAACATCAGCATCTCACATTATGGTTAAGCCCCTTTAGCCCTGCAAAGGCTCTCAGGATTCTTCATTCTCCTATGTGATTATAATCTTCTAATGACAATATTTTTTTTCTAACAAGAAATTATGAGTTAGCATACTTTGTCTTCTAGTCATCCTCCGATAGTCTTATATCAAAAATGATTTTAAAATTTATACTGACCACGAAGAAAGTAAATTAAGCATTAAAGGTTAAGACATCAATATAACATACAATTATTCTAAGATTTTCACATGGACTGAATAAGAACTTCACTATACCAATTTAAGGAAACATGATAATATAGTTCTTAAGCATTTGTGAAGAAAACATAGGAGAATTTATTGATAGAAAAACAAGGTTTATAAAAGTAAAGGAAAGAAAAACTTAGACTGAAACCCCTCTTGCTCCAAGCCAATTCTCCTTCTATAATGCAGTCATCTCCTTGAATTTCTATCAATTATCTTAGCACGATATAAAATCAAACTCACATACACACTATGTTATCTTCAGGTCTCCAAAGTCTCTTTTGCCACTATAATTCTCGTGATTTTATCCCCCCACGTCATCCAAACCATCATTTGAATTGCATACCCACCCTATGTGAGTGACCACCTAGGATCGTTGATGTTGGGCGCAATGATGGTGGGTTCGTGCGTCGCCTTTTGTGACTCTAAATTTTCAATTTAGGGCTTTAGGTGTGGCAATACTAGCTTTGGGAGCATTGGGGCGTTGGTTTCTAGAGTTTCAACGCTAGCTTTTGGCTCAACAATGTTGTGCTCTCGAGTTTTAGGCTAGAAATATTTATCACGGTAGTGCTGTCCATTTGGCATTGGGGCGCCTCTTTTAAGCGTTGGGGTGTCATTCCATACTTATCTCAATTGCTTTGAAGTGCTAGATCTATCCCTGTATATTACCCATATACATAAAATATAAATAAAATGAGCATAAAAATGACGCAAACAGTATAATAAAAATAGCATAAACAACATCACATTTTACATACATCAAGATGTAAAAGATGGCTTCATTATGTAGCACTTTGTCCCATCAGGCTTCAGGAGATGACTTTCATGACATAGCACTTTGTTTTGTACAACACTTGGTTCTTAACTTCAGACTGGTGTAATGTGATTCCCGAAAATATAGTTGTGTAAAAATTGTATAGTTGACTCCGCTATGCAATAGTGCCAAAAGCTTGATGCAATATTTTATGAATAAGAAATTTAAGCAATTAATGTTGATTAATGTTGAGATTCTATGCAAGTAGACGTATCGTTATCAAGTAATAAAAGACTCTCTATTTAAGCCTGACCTTCTTTAATTGAAAATTTATGTTCTAATAGTTTTTTCATGCTTAGAAAATAAATTTACTAGGAAATTCACAGAAAATCAATACGAAATTATTGTCACTAATTTCAAATGTTGAAAAAAAAATGTTGAGATATTATCAAAAATAAATTATTTAAATAATAAAAAACTGAAATACAAAGTTTAAACAGTAGCTACTAAACAATTAAACTATGTTTATGTGATGAAGATTTCTTATGTGAAAAAGCATTTTTCCCACTACAATGAGGTTTTGGTAAAATGAGATGAGATAAATAGTTCAATTATGTAATGTGCCAAATAAGAGCAGTTTTAATTCTCTACCCTGATAAATTGTTATAGAAAATCATTGGTTAATTCCATGTTTAGTCCTTAAATCTGTGGCTAGGATAGAAGGATACTGGCTCCCACTCCAGAGCTCCCACTAGCTCCCACTTCTCTTCACCTTCCTTCACCTGAAGGCTAACTCTCGCTCTAGTTTTTAAACACTAAGACCGAATTGAGATTTTTAGTCTGTCACCTTAGAAATTTCCAATTCTACACCCAACAAAGTATATTTTCCTATTTATTTGCACTTAATTCCATGTATTTTCCCTATTTATTTGCACTTAATTCCATGAACGAAGTTTTTCTTCATGAAATCCAATGTGATCCTCACTCTGTTGTAGAACTCTACTCCATTTGTTGGATCATATGTTTCTCAACATATTTTAACAATTCAATTGGCCAGATCGAAAACTAAATTAAGTTCAGAGTTGAAAAATCAACACAATTTATTTTATATTTTAATATCGGCACATCCATATTATCTATTCATTTCATCATATCTCAGAGTAGGGAGAAAGATAAAGTAAGCTACTCAGACTTCATGAGAAAAATACAATAAAACACCAATTTCATATATAAAAGAAAGTTCATATAACACCAATGAACAAACAACACTTGACTGAAAATCTTTCTCAAAGCAAATCCCTTGTAGTCTATTCTAGAAAATGAAGGAAGATGAAATCTCCACTTTTCTCCTTCTCCAACACTCTTAGAGAAGAGTTCACACTTAATCTCACCACAAAACTCTAAATTATAAGAACAATGGACTCTAAATAGTTGTGGAATGAAAAATGGAAGAATGTGTGATGTGTAGAAGGTTGAATGGAGGGGATGAAATGACAAGAAGAGTCTTTTTTTCTGATCAATTTTCGCCCCAAATAAAGCCTAAAGTCGGTTCTTCAATAGATGCCTCCAAAAACTCTTCAAAATGCATCCAGATTCATCGAATCTTCTAGAAATTGAGGCTGAACCAACATTGGCACCGTCGGCGCCAGTGTCTCGCTATTTAATTCGTCCTCCTTGTCAAACGGCGCCATCGGCATTGAACAAATTTCAACTTCATCATTTTTGCTCCAAATTTTATCCTTTTTGCTTCATTTTTGCTTTAAGTTTTAAAATTCAACAACCTGCAAGAAAACATAAAAATAACTTCCATTAAAGTGCAATATCACAAAAAATAAGTATAAAATATCACATCACAAAAAATAAGTATAAAATATGAGTCTAAAAATACATATATTTTTTGTGTATCATAATTTTCATATACCATTTGCAACAGCCTGAACTCTCATCAATCGAGATATTGTTCGCTTTGGCTTGATGCTGCTTTGATCTGATGGCCTCACGATTTTGTTCCATTTGTGTAACTTACCTATAAGTCACCTTTCCTATGAGTGCTCACATTCTCATCTATCAATATATTGTTCTCATTGGCCTAATAGCCTCACAACTTTTCTCCATCGGTGTAACTTCCTAGGGGGTCACTCATCTAAAAAATGCTCTTATATGAGCATTCTTAATTTGAATTTTTGTCAAAACTCTGATCGCTACACTAAAAGACATCTCGATGTTTATGATTTTAGCTTGAACTCTTAAACATAGAGACACCTTTTTGGTGCAGGAGTGAAAATTCATTAGAAACTTCAATAATAAAGATGCTCACAAGGGAGCACTAATGGAATTGGCAACCTCCTGGAAGTTATATTAACAGAGCAAAACCATGAGGCCATTACGTCAAAACAGACAATATTCTGGTGGGTGAGAGTTCGGGTTGAAGAAAAGAACTAAGTGTCATGCCTTGAGCGCCACCAGTTGAATCTTGTATGAGACAAAGTGCTATATGGTGGGAGCCACATCCTAACTTAGCAAGGACAACCATTATAATCTTATTTGCCTTGTGGATGATTATGGGCTTAGAGCATTGATGTAAATGTCGGTTACTTAAGTGAGAGAGATTGTGAAACCCTTTAAGTAAAATGAAGTTGAACACTAAAACATCGAGACACCTTTTAGTGTAATGATTGGAATTTCAAACGAAACTCAAAATTTAAGCTTACTCGTATGGGAGCACATTTGGTATGCGTGACCTCCTGGGAAGTTATACGAATGGGACAAGCCTGTGAAGCTATTAGGCCAAAGCAGACAATATCTTGATGGCTGGGAGTTCGCGATGTTACACGGGTGGAATGTAAGTAAAAAATTAAAGTTCAAATGTTAGATATGTAAATATTTAGGAGTTGAATGGTATGTGTAAGGGTGTGAACGAGCTGAGCTTGAGTCAGCTCAAGGCTTCTTTGTGTTATACTTGTTTATTTATTTATTTTTATATAAATTTGGCTCATGAATAACCCATTCTATTCGGCTTGATTCAAACTCGTTTATTCGAATTAAGCTTGTGTTTGACTTGAATTCAAGTAGCGCACTCATTTGACCTAAAATACTTGATTATAAAATTTATTATTAATCAATTAAAAAATAATAATTTCCACCCAATTTAGATGCTTCCCTTCCTTGTTGTTCAACCTTTCTTGAGGTTAAGATATATACTTCTTGCCTTTTAAAGGTTTTTCTCACAACTTCTCTCTTAAGGGTCATTTACGCACCGCCCAAGTGCTATGTATTTACATATCTAATACCTAAACTTTTATTTTTCATAAATATATCACTCAAATAATTTTTAAAAATAATAAATTCAACATTTCTTTAAATACCTATAAAAGCTAATATAAAAATAATATAAATAAATAATATTATATACTTATTTGGAAGAATAGCTCATTTATTTGTGTTAATTTTCCTTTTGAGTTATCATTACGGTACCAAGGGTTTAGGGTTTTGGGCTTTGGGTATCGTTCTGATTGCTCGAGTAAGCAAGGCAAGGACGGCGTCGATGGAGATTGCACCGGAGGAGAATCCGGCGACGGCTGGAGGCGAAAGTGAACAGACCCCTCCACCATCAAATGCTCCCTACCCTTTGCTCGGAGACGATGATCGAAGTTGCGGATTGAAACGGAGGAGATTGGAGGAGGATGATGATGAGAAGGAAGTAAAGAGCTCTGTTCCTTCCGGTGAAGCCGGTGAAGTTTCTTCCGGTGAAGCCGGTGGGCTGCGAGAGCAAGGAGTGGATTTGCATTCTCTCTGGAAGACAAGTCTCTGTTCCTTTTTCCGCCGGCCGCCTGGAGGGATCTGCCGGCACGGCGACGACTGCCGCTATGCCCACGGGGAGGCCGAGCTTCGGCCTCGTCCCGATAAATCTTGGGATCCGACATCTGAAAGAGCTAAGAAACTTATCAAGGCCAACGATGGCGACAATGTCTCGAGCGTAACCGAGGAATACGAATATGCTACCGTTGATTTGAACAGACTTGACAAGTGCTTGATAGGTCTCCCTAAAAGTTGGGCTTTGGAAAATCTTAAGAGCTTCCTTGATGGTCAGGCAAGTTCTCCGTCTCCTGGTTTTGTGTTTTTACCCACTTCGGTTGAGCTAAGGCATTGGTTTTAGTTTATCGTGCACAAATCAGTAATTTTGATTCTGATCGTATCTATTTCTGAGCGAATTTTTGTTTTTTTTTAAATTTATTTGCAGGGAATTTCTTATAAAAGAGTCAAAAAGAAGAAAGGAATGAATGTAGGTTTTGTGAGTTTTGATGATGGTGAACAGATTATAAGTGCTATTGAGGTATCTTCTTTTGTGATGCCGCCCATAACTTCTTGCTTCTTTCATCTAAAGTTTGCTTTGTGAGCATTCCATATTACTTCCCCAATCTTACCTTTGTTAAAAAAATACAGGTTTTGAAGGTAAATCCTCTTAATAGTAAACAAGTAAAGGTTGCTGATGCAGTATGCAGATCTCAGAAAAAGAAGCAAACAATGGAAATCACTATGTGCAGCACACGTAATGAAGATGACTCTTTTCTTGCCTCAGGGAATAATGCTGCTTTTGGCTCTTCAAATGAAGAAGGTATTGTTGCAAAGGCTAAAGCTGTTTGTGATGTAGTTACCCCTCTCGCTCAAATGTCCTACAGTGATCAACTAGAGCACAAGAGGAATTCATTGCTTCAAACACTTAAACGACTTGTAAGGAAAGCATTGTAATTCTATTGGTTGGTTAAATGGTTGTGCCATATTTCCTCCCACATTTCTTTATTGCTAAGAAAAGTTATGCTGAGTTTCTAAAAATTGCTTCTAAGATGTGATATATTAAATGTTAGTATCAATTAAGCGGTTCTTCCTCTTTCTTTTAGACGCGCCATGCACGCAAGGCTTGTCCAGATGCAGTTCCTGTTCCAGATTGGATTTTGAAATCTCATGAAATTGGTGAGTTTGATGGGATTAAGGAGCTTTTTTGGTGTTTTTCTCTTATTAATTGTTGCCTATCCTCTAATTTTTTTGGCAGCCTTTTAGGAGAAAGTCATTTAGTTACTGATTTTCTTCTAACGCGACTCTCATTAGCAAGACTCTTAACTCTTACTTGCTTATCTTGAACGATGATTGTTTCATCCCCAATTTATTTAAATAATTATTTCTCTTTTTCAGAAGTTTTGGGAGTATTTTGTAACTCAAACTAGTTATATATTTGATTGCCCACTTTATCATATGTTTGGCTTACTTCTATTTCCAAAATTGCAATATAGTTGGTTCTAGTTGCCCTCTTGATCTGATATAACATGTATATCTGGAATTTATGTTGCCACCATAATATCAAATGTTTTTTCATGTTCAAAACTGTACTTTCTGGGTGCTTCTGTGGAATTTGTATTAGCATATCAAAAGTTTGATTTCCCTCAATTCATATTGTGCCTCTGTTCTGTGAGGCACACAACACCCTGTTGAATTTGTTATTTGCACCCTCTTGTTGCAGAAAAAAGTGAACATTGCTGAATAATGACCAGAAAGGTCTTGCCTTTACCATCCTTATTGTTGACATTTACTTGTTCCCAGTTTGCAAAATCTATGTTTTTCATGCTTGTGTTTTTGACCTCATGGTATTTAGTATTTTCCTAGAGTTTCTACTGAGTTTTAGTGCCACTTGTGTGCGAATGCAGGAGGTCTTCCGTGCAAACTTGAAGGAATAATGGAATCTCCACTGGTCGATGGTTATCGGAATAAGTGCGAGTTTTCAGTTGGATGTTCTTTAGAGGGTAAAGTGACTGTGGGCTTTATGCTTGGGAATTTCAGGTTGTCAGACAAAAAATCATTTGTAGGGGAAAAGAACAAATAATTTTGCTGCTACTGACTAATTTTGTTGAGTTTCAGAGAGGGGGTCACAGCAGTAGAAGAACCTGGCAGCTGTCCAAATGTCTCAAGAATATCTTGCAAATATGCTTTGCTTTTTCAAGATTTCCTTCAGACTTCTGAACTGCCTGTTTGGAATAGAATCGACAATATTGGGTTTTGGCGGCAATTTACGGTAAAATGAGGATTATATCTTGCTGATTGGTTGCACCTATTCTACTATTAATATGAATATATTTTTCTTCTTACAAGTTATGATATTTGGAGAATTATTTTTGGTCCCATTCTTCTTTTCACCTAAAACCTTGTGAGAAGAATTATCATTTGAAGCCCTCGCTGTGTAGGTTAGAGAGGGAAGATGCCCTAGTCCAGTGGCTCTTAATGGAAGTGTAGTTAATGAAATTGCGGAGGTCATGCTTATTGTACAGGTATGTTTTGTTGAAAATACTTTTTCATTTATGGGGATTGGTGCTATATCTTTAGTTTTTTGATTCAATTCTAAAACAATCATTGTTAGAGAATATGTATGATTTGACAATTTTCCAGAAATCGTTGCTTAAGCATGTTAAATAAAGCTTTATTTGGTGTGAATCGAGCCTTGTTCAGTATGTAATTTCAGTATCACACTTGTTTTTTTTCAATAGTTAATTTGCTATAGTTTGTCTAACCAATTTCAGGTTTGTTCGTTGGGTCACGAAGAAGAACAAATCAGAGGCGAATTTAATAGAATGGCACATGCTTTAGTGCATGGAGCAGCTGCTTGTTCACCTCCCCTGCCTCTCACAGCAATAGTAGTGCAGGTGCAGTTTGTAGTAATGAAAATAAATGTTCAATAATTTCTTTAATGACTAAGTTTTGACTCTCCTATGTTCTTGTCTGACATGGGCAGATTGGTAGTGTCCTTCTAATCACTTATAGTTAGTTCTGTTATGTAATATCCACGTGAACCTCTTATCTAAATTAAATAGTTTGTTTTATATCCTTGATTTATGAAAGTGTACTGTGATTTGCGTCAAATTTGCTTTCCTTTCAACTCTTCAGAATGAGATTAAGGGAATTCTGAACTTAGCAACTTATTAGTGTTTGGCCATATGTTTGGACCCCTTTATCACTTATTTCTTTGGCGGTACCCAAAGTATTATTGCTACATGGGATTATCAGTCTTTTTTTTTTTTTTGTATTATTACAACTACATGAGAGCTCTCGGTCTGTTTGGAACCTACGTTGTTTCTTTTCATGGGTTGGACTCTATCCAATCTTGGAAAAGTTGTGTTAGCGTAACATGTTATTTCCTTTATATATTTAATCTTAAGTCTTTGTCTTTAGGTGGAGTTGGTCTTTTTATGTTTCTGAAGAGTTACAATTTCTTGGTTCGATGCAGTTAATAAGCTGGATAAAGAATTGATCTCTTCGTCCCGGACTAGTTAGGGATTATGCAGCTTTTTAACTTAAAAGCAATTACTATGAATATCTTACATATCGAATTTACACTAATATGTTTAAACTTCTTTTGAATTTTGAGGTCGTGCAATAGATAATTTGAGCTTTTGCTATCTTTTGATATACCAAATATTTATGGCGCAATTTGTAGTTTACCTTGATATATCCTGAAAACTGTGTACTTTGAATGCTTCTAATTTGGTAGCAGTAAAATCATGCTCATGAAAAATGCATGCATATATGCCTGAGGACTTACATGTAACTTTGTGAGCGGGGTTATTTTAATGCTTGAGCAACATGCTGCATCTTCCTAACTTAATGGCTTTATTATTTGTTTTAATGGTTTGTTTGAAGGAGCATTACATACATACCACCCAGTTTTTTTGTATTTACATATCTAACACCTAAAATTTTCATTTTTACATTCATACCGCCCAAAATCTTTCAAAACACATAAAATATAGCACTATTTTAACTTTTAAAAAGTGAATTACACCTTTTCATTTATAGGTAAGGTGTAAAAATTGAAGTATAGGTGTTAGATATGCAATTACAAAGGACTTCAGTGGTATTGATGTAAATCTTACCTTGTTTGAAAAGTGAATATAGATGTTACAAGCTTAACCTTATCATTCAGGACCACAGGGGAATATCAAATGTTGCCCCTTCTAATTGCCCATTGATAACATTGCAATTACCCAAGGTGGATGACGGCAGTGATTCAGGAGCAACAAGCACTGCTGAAGCGAGAATTCATGACTATATCAGCAATCTTCGATTTTCCATATCACCAACAGCATTTTTTCAAGTTAGAATAATTATTATCTTAAAATTTTAATTGATAATTCAAATATTCATTATTTTGATGGCTTATAGATTGCAGGTTAACACTCTTGCTGCCGAGAAATTATATTCCCTTGCTGGTAATTGGGCGGAGTTAAGTCCTGATACAATACTGTTTGACATTTGCTGTGGTACCGGAACTATAGGCCTTACTTTGGCTCATCGAGTTGGAATGGTAACTGCCTGATTTATTTTTTCATTATTAAGCGAACTTAATTTTATTTTGCACTTTTGCATGCTTTTTAAATTATATCTTCTTCATTATCATCATTAACCTTATCCTAATTAATTGGTTTTGGCTTTATGAATTCTCTGTTTTATCCATTTCTATTTAACACTGCCTGAAATGATCAACTAATATTTTGAGGCCTCTCATTTTCCTTCATAATTATTTGATATTAACTTTGTCTACTTGTCTAATGGGTGCATGTGTCACTCTTTGTTGTGTATGTTCAAACTATCTAAATCTTTTTCAATTACCTAATTCTCATTCATTCATCTCTCTTATACAATCTTTCCTAACTTTATGATTCCTATTTTTGGTCAAACATTCATTTTGACATTTTTATTTTCATTACAATTAATGTCTCTATCAAGAACATTTTTACCACTCCTAACTCATGTCAATATTAGCATAATGGCTTAGTTGTAGTTTAATATTTACCTTTTAATCCTCTATCCAAGACAAATTTTCCACAGAAATTAGGACATAATATTTTTGCAAACATAAAACAATACAACATGAATACATAAGTAGGCGATCTCACTCAAATCTCACAATTCGAGAGGTAGAAAAATTCTCCTCAGACCCTAACTCTAAAACTCAAGACAATAATCTTCTGCATAATCTTAACCCTAAACATATTAGCTTTTAATAATAAAATACTAAATTGTCTTTAGTTACTAAAGACAAAATTGCTCTTAGGCACTAACGTAACAATACTCCCCTAACAAAAAGACACTTTATCCTCAAGATGGGAAAAAATGCTACTGGATCAAGTCGTGTGGCTCACGTTTATAAATTGTCTTCAGTCTGGTTCTTGTCGTCAACACTGGTACACTCATCATGATCTTCTTTAACATTTCAAATGTCTGGATCATCACTTTCTCCCACTTAAAATTATCTTTCTTCAATTTCTTTGTCCACGACCTTACAATCAAATTATCACCCATTACGAACTTCCGGTAGTATCATTTAAATCCTATAAACTTTCTCAACCTCTTCTAGGTCTTAGGTAGTGATCCCTCCAATATAGTCGCCACCTTCGATGGATCCGATGACATGATGGTCTTGCACAAACTAGTGTCACTGCCAAGAACCACCTTCGTCCCCTCCACACTAATCTCCACGGTCATGGATTTCCAATCCACCATTGTCTTATCGATCATCTGTAGCTGTTTTATCTCTAAAACCACATCAGTCATTTCCAAGTCCAGTGGAAGGAAGTCCTCCATCACCTGTATGTCTTGTAGTGTCAACACAAATCCCCTAAAAATTCCTCAACTTCTCTCCACCTTCCCTGTCTGCATCACAACCCCAAAACTTTTCATATCTATTAACTTCAACCTCAACTAGTCCACGATCCGATTTAAGATGTTGTGAGTGGCCTCATTGTCTGCCAACACCACTACCGGATGCTCCCCAATCTGTCCCCGCCTTTATGGTGTGATTTGAAGTAAATCTTACCCTTGAGTTGAGGGACACCTTCGCTAAATTCAGGTGTAAGTGCTCCTCTCCCTTTAGTGCTTATTCGTCTGATTCTTCACTAGCTATCTCCTCACAAACTAAAAGTACTTGGAGCGTGCGATCCTTAAAATAGTCGTATGAGATACACTTTTTATCACATTAGAAACATAATTCATTTGCTCTCTTTTCCTGCACCCTGCCTCTGTGTCGTCCTTGAAGTTGCCCTTGGGACAGACCCCTGTATTTCTCTCCTTCGGTGCCACCTTTTGAAATGACAGTCTGTCTTTGGTGTCATGATCTTCAAGGTACTCTGGCAGGATCCTCCCGTGGTGTTGCTTTTGCTGGGCTTCATCCAATTCTTGTCTTCCAACATTTGGGGGAGCTCCATCGTTATTCTCACTCCCCGAGATCTCAATAGTCGGAGTGTTACCCGTATGTTGGGCTTTATGCCCTTCATGAAGTTTCCCTCCAATCCTGCTTCATAAATCCCTCGCAGCCATTTCGACAATAGCTCGAATCTCTCCCTTTATTCCATGACAATCCTCTCCTCAGTCAAGGCATAAAATTGCTTGTGTAGATCTTTTTCTCGACTAATTCAGAAATGTTTCAACAAGTAATCCATAAATTCGTCCCATGAACGGATCAAGTATCCAGCTTCCCTCCACTGAAATTATGCCAGGGTGTTCCCCTCCAAACACAACTCTACCTCCATGAGCTTTTCCTCTCCATTTATCTCATTCACTGTGAAATATCACTTTACTCAGTACACCCAACCATGTGTGTCTTCTCCATCGAAGATCAACATTTTCAACTTCCTAACCTTACCATCTCTAGCCCAAATTCCCCTCCCTCCGGTATTTCCCCTCATGTATCTAGGGTAAAACTCCCTCTTTTGATCATAGCCATACCCCATCTTGACTTTTCTCCTTCCTTTTTCATAGTTCTCCCAAGCCCTTGCATAACCTCTCCTCTGTGTTTCACCCCTACTCCTTTCATCAGAAATCTCTAATCTAGTCCCTATTAGATTTAGGGGCACGAGTTGCGGGAGTTCTTGTTGGTGGATGTTTTCCTCATGTTCCTCATGTTCCTCACGTTCGATCTCTTTTCCATTTGATTTGGACATGAATTATTTGATTTGGGCGGTATGAATGTAAAGGAGACGCTCGTCTATCACCACAACCATTTATTTGGTTGTATCATGATTAGACACATCATTCTGCGATCCTTCTTTATCCTCTCATGTATGTGTGCTTCCCGGCTTTGATTACGATTGTTTAACAAGGCTAGGTCATGAAACGAAGGCGACTTTTACTTTGATACGGTTCAAGATGAATTTTTCACAGCAAAAAACAATAATTTTATTTGACGAACACCAAACAACACATTACAAATATATAAGAGAAGACCTACAATTCGAGAGGTAGGCGATATCTCCCAAATCCTACAATTTGAGAGGTGGAAAATCTCTCCTCAAACCCTAACCCTAAGACTCAAGACGACAATCTTTTACATAACCCTAACCCTAAACATATCAACCTTATTTATATTAAACGTAACAAATAACAAAAGACTAAATTACCCTTAGGCTAATAAAGATACAATTGCCCTTAGGCATCTACGTAACATACTTTTAAGCCATTTCTCTAATTTAAGAGCCCAAATTTAACTTTAAAAGTAATTTCTCATTTATATTCACATTTTTCTATACAATAGATCAAGATACTTAAACCATTGACACCTAGATGACACTCTTCTTTTATTAATATTGGCTTGTAATTACAAATATCACAAACATTAAAATTGCATATCATATACTTAGTTTTGGTTCCACCAAATCTAAACTGTCTGTGTTATAAATATTTTCTTTATTCTTCCAACTTTTTGCTTATTCAACGTGTGTGTAAAATCATCCAACTTTGAATGTCCTTTATAAGTATCTTCATTTAAATTTAACTTTAAAAGTAATTTCTCATTTATATTCACATTTTTCTATACAATAGATCAATATACTTAAACCATTGACAGCTAGATGACACTCTTCTTTTATTAATATTGGCTTGTAATTGCAAATATCACAAACATTAAAATTGCATATCATATACTTAGTTTTGGTTCCACCAAATCTAAACTGTCTGTCTTATAAATATTTTCTTTATTCTTCCAACTTTTTGCTTATTCAACGTGTGTATAAAATCATCCAACTTTGAATGCCATTTATAAGTATCTTCATAGCAAATGTTAAGTGATATGTTTCACTTTGATATGTTTCGCCTTCTCTATCCTCTCATGTATGTGTGCTTCCCGGCTTTGATTACGATTGTTTAACAAGGCTAGGTCATGAAACGAAGGCGACTTTTACTTTGATACGGTTCAAGATGAATTTTTCACAGCTGTATGTGTGCTTCCCGGCTTTGATTACGATTGTTTCACAAGGCTAGGTCATGAAACGAAGGCGACTCTCACTTTGATATGATTCAAGATGAATTTTTCACAGCAAAAAAACAATAATTTTATTTGACGAACACCAAACAACACATTACAAATATATAAGAGAATACCTACAATTCGAGAGGTAGTCGATATCTCCCAAATCCTACAATTTGAGAGGTGGAAAATCTCTCCTCAAACCCTAACCCTAAGACTCAAGACGACAATCTTTTGCATAACCCTAAACCTAAACATATCAACCCTATTTACATTAAACGTAACAAATAACAAAAGACTAAATTACCCTTAGGCTAATAAAGATACAATTGCCCTTAGGCATCTGCGTAACATACTTTTAAGCCATTTCTCTAATTTAAGAGTTTAAATTTAACTTTAAAAGTAATTTCTCATTTATATTCACATTTTTCTATACAATAGATCAATATACTTAAACCATTGACAGCTAGATGACACTCTTCTTTTATTAATATTGGCTTGTAATTGCAAATATCACAAACATTAAAATTGCATATCATATACTTAGTTTTGGTTCCACCAAATCTAAACTGTCTGTCTATAAATATTTTCTTTATTCTTCCTACTTTTTGCTTATTCAACGTGTGTGTAAAATCATCCAACTTTGAATGCCCTTTATAAGTATCTTCATAGCAAATGTTAAGTGATATGTATCTATTGTTGGCCCTTGATATCATTATATTATAACCGAAAGTTTTTTTAGCTACTCCACAACTAATTTATAATACAAATTAACATTTCATCATGCATTTTTTTATGATTTCAACATATCCTTGACATGCAATTCATTCTTAATGTATTCCTAATTAATTCTATTGGTACTCAATCATATAGTGAGCTCGGGTTTGATGAATGAGCTCAGGCTCGACTCTATAAGTTGCTCACAAGTTGGGCTCGTTGCACCAGCTAGCGAGGTTCAAGCTAGCCTCGACTCTTCAGCTCGTGAGTTGGCTCGTTTAAAAAATATTAATATAAAAAATACTTACAATACATTAAAATTCTAATAAATTTCAAAATTTTCTCAATTAGTTATTAAAAATATGAAAAAATATATTTTATATATTGTATCAAATGACTTCTTATTATTTTTATACTAATTACATGTTCTATTTATTTTCTTAGTATAATACTTGCTGGAATTAATATTATTTTATCTTTCATAATAAATAAGCTAGCTTGTGGGCCCTCTAAATCTCATTAAATTAAGCTCGAGTTCAAGTTCGAACTCGATTAGTTAATCAAGCTCAAGTTCAAGCCAAGGGTGACTTTTACACTCCTACTCTATTACCCTTCCATTGTTTAATTTCCATGTTGTTAGAACAATTTTGAACGATTTATTTGTGTTTAAATATTGGTAAAATGATTCTTGACTATCCATTTAACGTCTTATTATTTTTCAAATTTTTGTTGAAAGTATTTGTTAACTTGACCACTATGCCCTATAATTCTCCAAATATTGTTATCTCATTTGAATTCCAGATCTAAGGCTTTATGTTTATGCAGTATTTTTAGAGCTAAATTTACTTCACTTTTGTTATCAATCTATAAACCTTATTACATTATTATATATGCTCTTCTAAACTAATTTAAACAATTTTATACTATCATTTGATGTTTTTTTCCCTTTCACAATCTCTATTTATTATATTTTTTACCGTCCCCAAATAGCTGGTAGAAGTTTGATGTTGATGATGGCGATGGTATTTTTAAAGCCAAGGCTACTTAAGGTGACTGTAGTTTCAAGCATGTCCGCTTGGTTCTACTCTATTTTTTTATGATATTTGAAGATGTAATCTCGATTTGATATGATTTAGCTGTAATCGGCTGTGGTTGGAATACTATTTTCTGCCTTCTTTAATAGTCATATCACTAAATCTAAGATGATGGCAGCATTTCATATAGCAGTCATACCTCACGGTTGTATGTGTGTACATTAATACTAAAAGAATTATGCATAAAGTTAATGCCTTCTTTCAAAATTTGCTTTTCTTGAACTAAAAATATTTTTGAAAAATTGTCTTAGTTTTTTCTGTGGTATTCATATGGAATGAATATAAAGATTCAAAAGCTGATCCCAATAGTTAGCATTAAAGTAATGATTGTGATGATTTTTTTTGAACTGTATTGCTGTTGTTTTCTACTGTTTAGTTATTCTTTTAAATTTCACTAGGTTGTGGGCGTAGAAATGAACGAGTCTGCTGTCTCAGATGCAAAAAGAAATGCAGAGATTAATGGTATAAAGAACTGCAGATTTATCTGTGGAAAGGTGAGCTACGTTATGGTTAGAACTTTTATCTTCTGTTTCCTCTAATTTGTAAATCAGTGTGCTTTATTTAATTGTTCTAAATATAGTCTTTCTGAGATGGATTTCTAAATTCTTCAATAGTAACATTGCTGAGTGATTTTAATACTTCCTCTATTAGGAATACCTGAAAAAAAATTAGACAGTTTCCTTGCTGAAGAGGAGTTCTGCAGTAGAGGCCTAAGTGGCCATGTATTTGAATCAAAATCTTAAATCTAGTAAATGATGGTAATCATTCGGAAACAGTCCAAGCTTTTAGATAATGAACAATAGATTGTGAATTACTACTGGGGAATGTGATTACGCTTCAATGAATGGTCTTCTTCTATTTCCTATTGATTTTCTAAATAATTTTGAATGAAAGATTTGCTGCATTTATTGTTGCTAATATTTTATTTTTTTTAAAAAAATTGTCAATTCCCATCATCTCGTCTTGATATTTTTTTACCAATGAAGAGATTTTTTATGGAAGGTTTAAATTCTTAGAGGTTGCTAAAAAAGATTTAGCCAAACCATATGTCCAAAAAATACAATTCTTAGTACAAAGGATTGGAAAATAAGGTTTTAAAGTGATCTCATAATGTTGGATTTGACACTAATTTCTTCTATGATGTTAAATGAGTTTAATAGGTTTGAAATTGAGAAGTATTATAAGTTTGTAACATCATTGTGGTACATTCCATCCTTAAAATCGACACGTTTTTTTACATAAATTAGGGCAAACATAATATTTCTTCAATAATTCAAACAACTCAACAGAAATGCAAAGAAAAAAAACACCAACAATTCGAGAGATAGAAAATATCTCCCAACCTTAAATCTAAGACTCGTCGCTTAATCTCATGCATAAATCTAACCCTAGACATAACAAGCATATTTATATCCAATAATAATAATAATAATAATAATAATAAAAGACAAAATGGCTTTTAGGCTAGGCGCCAACGTAACAATACTACCCCCTCCCCCCACAAAAGAAACATTGTCCTCAAGGTGGAAAAAAGTGAGTGTTCCTCCTCCCTCACAACTGTCTCTATTTTTTCATTTTGTCTTCTCGTCATGCACTATGAAAACTTGTAATTTTTTATCCTTGCAACAGTGTCCTGGGGTATATTTCTCATCGCACAGAAAACATAACCCCTTGGCTCATTTATCCTAAATCTTTGTCTATGAAATGCGTTTGAGTGTTATTCTCGGTCATGATCCATTATTTGTGTCCCGTGCTGCCTCTTTCTGGACTTCTACTGTATGAACTTTTGGTATCTTCATGGTTGTAGCTGTTCGATTTCGCTTTCCATTTGTGTTGCTCATACTGGCCTTCTTCATCTGATTCTTGTCCTTTATCATCCGAGCTGGCTTCATCGTTTCCTTAAATCCCGCGGTCTCAATAATCGGAGTGATGCACGTATGTTGGGCTTTAGGCCCTTCATGAAATTTTCCTCCAATCTTGCTTCAGAAATTTCCCACAGCCATCTCGACAATAGCTCAAATCTCTCTTTGCATTTCATGACGGTCCCCTCTTTAGTGAAGGTATAGAGTTGCTCATGTAGGTCTCTTTCTCGAATTGCTCGGAAATGTTTCAACAAATAATTATTGAATTCCTCATACAAATAGATCAGGTATCTAAACTCCCTCTACTGAAACCAGGCTAAAGCTTTCACTTCCAAATATATCCCTGCTGCCATGAGTTTCGCCTCCTCGTCTAGCCCATTCACCACTAAGTATCGCTCTGCCTGATGCACCCACCCATTTACGTCTCCCCCCTCGAAGATTGACATCTTTAACTTCCTAATTCTAACATCTCAACCCCGACTTCTTCCTCCATTTCCCACCATGTATCGAGGGTAAAACTTTCTCCTTCGATCGTAGCTAAATCCCCTCCCTGCTTCTCTCCTTTCTTCTTTGTGCTTATCCATACCTCTTGCATAATCTCTTCTCTATGTTTCGGCTCAACTGTCTCCATAAAAAAATCTCTAATCCACCCCCAATCGGAGCTGTGAGAGGGGGTTCGTGATAGTGGATGTTTTCCTCATGTTCCTCACTTTAGATTTCTTCTTCTTTCGATTTAGCCAATGAATCTTTGGTCAACCCTTGGGTGGAAATTGAACTGCCGACAAGGTTTTGGATTGCATCTCAATAAATCTTTATCATCTTTTGAATTTCCCCCATGCTCTCGAATAGGTCCTTTATTCTGTTCTCCATGCTTGAAAACCTTATCTCTTTGGCGGACCTTTCTTACATTCCAGATCTGATTTGGCTGATCTTTTCCTCTAGTTTCTTTTTTAAGTCATCTATTTTCTTAACTGCCCTTCTTCCCAAAAAAAATTTTGATCACCAAAAGATGAAAGTGCCTGCACGCCGTAGAACGAGGTGAATGATTGAAAATTCTAGAATTTCAGAGTTGGTACTGTAGTAAATGACGGGGTGTAGTCACTCTATACACCGCTATCCTGTTGTTGCTTGAGAATCGCGACTGTACCGCACGAGGCACACTACAATCCCACCGTTGGCAATCTTCAAACTATGATTCCCGCGGTTCGCCGCTTTTCTTTGAGTCGAAGACGTGCATTGCCATCACAAGGAAATGACTGAAAGATGTGATCCTTCCCCACATGACGATCCCAAGTGGAAAGAGGAGAAAGACGCGATCCCTTATCCACCTTGCACGCGAATTGGTAAGCCGCGATCCCTTCGTTGCCTTCCTCACAAGTTATGATCGCGACTGTCTGTGTACGCCGCTTCCCAGACTGCCTTCTCAGCTAGCTTTAATCACGACCTTATCGTATAGACGACGCGACTGTATTGCATAGACAACACGACTGAATCGCGCAAAAAACTCTGATCGACTATATTGCAATGTCCGGTCACAACAGTGAGGTTCCGAACCCGTTGTTACCTTCTTCTGTAAGCCGTGAGCTCGTCGTTGCCTTCTTCTGTAAGTCGTGAGCTCGTCGTTGTCTTCTTCTGTAAGCTGCGAGCCCATCGTTGCCTTCCTAGAACGCTATGAGCCATTGCTTCCTAACTCGTGTGATTCACCACTACAAATCTCGTCGATGTCTTCCCAAAACACCACAAACCCATGCATTTCTTCCCAGCTACCTCCAATTGCGAGCCTATTGTGAGTTTCAGTCACGACGGCTTGATCCAATCGGGCGATGGATACTTGTATCAGGAAATTCGATCACCACGATTTTAAATAGTTCAGAGCAGGATTGACGAAGCTATGATACTAATTTGGTATGATTCGTCCTCAAAATCGGCACACTTTTCCACAGAAGTTAGGGCAAACATAATATTTTTAATTAATTCAAACTACTCTCAAACTACTTTACAAGAATACAAACATAAGTAGGGCTGTAAACGAGCTGAGCTTGAGCGAGCTCAGGCTTGACTCGTGTTCGGCTCGTTCGAAATAGCTTGTGTTTGAAATTGGCTCGTGAACAATGTGTTCGTGTTCGGCTTGAAATTGGCTCGTTAAACATAAATTGAGAAAAATAGTTGTAAAATGTTGGATTTGAACCTAGATTAAATATATACAAAAAAAGACACTAACAACATTGCCACATGAGGTGTTATGATTTAAACTTATACATAAATTTATATAATATATTATTATATAAATAATATATGGAGTGAACAAACTGTTGTTCGTGTTCGGCTTGTTTACATTCGAGCTTTAAAAATTTTTTCGTGTTCGGCTCGTTCGTTGAACGAGCGAGCCAAACACGAGCTACTTAACGAGCCGAACACGAGCTGTTTGCAAACAACGAGCTTTTTTGACAGCCCTAAACATATGCATCTACAATTTGTTAGGTAGACATTCTCTCCCACTACAATTCGGGAGGTAAGAAATATCTCTCAACTTTAAATTTGAGACTCACCATTCAATCTAATGCATAAACCTAACCCTAGATATAACAAGTTTATTTATACTCAACAACAATAATAATAAAAGATAAATTTGACTTTTGGTATATAAAAGATAGATTTGCCTTTAGGCTAGGCGCCAAAATAGCACACTGGCCTTTTTGAAAGTGCTAGAATTTTTTATTATTTAAAATTGTTTAAAAAATCTTGTTTATTCGGCTTCTCACCCCTGCCTTGCCAAAGTAAATTCTGCTTTGCTTTTAGTATTAACTGTTTTATAAACTAGCATATTCATTAAAAAAAAGGCGTTTTTAGTCTCTAAGCGATGATCACCTAAAGTGACATGTCAGGTAGTTACGCCAATTTTTTTTTTTCTTTACTGTTCGTGTCTTATATAAGGGGAGAGGAACCGTTTAATTTTAAGCAAATAATATCCTTAGGAGAGACCGGACGCTCGCCTTTCTCAAATTTCCCTTTTTTTTATTTTCCAGGTACTTTTCCACCCAGCCTAGAATATATAAAAGTGGTAGGATTTATTAAGAAAATAGTATTTTTCTTTAAAAAAAGTTTAGAATTATGTACAAATTAGGGCATATAATTCTACTAGTAAAGGTGCATGCGCTTCATGTGTAGGTAGCAAAAAAGTAATTCACAATTAAGAGATGGGTGTTTTTGTCCAATTTTTCAAACATTAGCTTTTACATCAACTTAAATCAACTTGAGAGACGTTCACTAAAACATTCATAATTTGCAACTGCGTTGAATCCAATTACAAATTTACAATTGTGGATTTAGATAGTATGAAATCATGAGCAAAAAAATAATTCATTTACTATAGGTCAAGAAACAATACATGGCCATACTTATAGATACGCCGTCAAGTTCGAATAAGCCCTAATCAATGGTTCGCTTGCCTTTCAGGCTTGCCACTTATGAGTGCTCGCCCTGTGTTCTATTTGCTTGTGGTTTTACTGCCTTTAGCTTGTCAGTGGGGAGTTGCTTCTTTCTTAACGACTCATGCATCTTGGACTACTCTCCTTAAGGCTTCCTTACCCCTCTCTCTCTCTCTCTCCACATTCTTGTGTTGAAGTATTAGG